ATGTTAACAACTAATGATAACAATGTTAAGTATTCTACGAAGTAGACCTGAGATAGAAGGGTAAGTTCATTCATTAAACAAGGAACGAAAAGGTAAGGTGTGTTTTTTATAACTGTGCTGAACCTATTCATCAAATTTCATCCTTTAGACATTGAGATGTGAACTATTAAAATATTTGCAGCCTTTAAATATCGTTGTCTTAGGTGTGTTTCAGAGCAGAAATGTAGCGCCCTTCCGATATTTTTAGGCATGAGAGCTTTTCTTTCGACGTCCGTGTTGTTGATGATAACCGGAAGTGCTTTACATTTAGATTTGCTCGCGAGTGGCCCATTGTTTAGCTGCAGTGGCGCCTTTTTGATTTCGCTAACGCAAACAAAGCAGATTTACCGGTAAGAAAAATAAACATATATTATTTGATAACTATATAATGTGCGTGTAGCTTATAATGGAGTCGAATTTGCTTATTTAAATCAGTTTGATATGTCTGTTCTTGCGTGGTTGACTTGTGTAGGCCTGTAAAGACTCAGGTTAGCCTGTTAGCTTGGTTGGTACATACATTTAGTGCGTAACAAATCTGTTCGTATTACGTTTAATTAGACTTTAAATGTTAAACCATTTGTGTACTATAAATAGTTTTACTGTCGTTTTTATTTTTTGTATTTTTCCTATAAAGCTGCTTTCGATGAGTGTTATAAATCCTTTGAGTAATTCAGTGTCGCATGCTAGTGTTCTCATTGTTTCCAAAGTCAATTTTCAGCCTTTTTAGTAACAGTTTTGATCGTTACGTATTGCAGCTTTTAAACTTAACTCAACTGACAAGATAGGCTTCTATCATCCAGTTTAATTGCAAATTCATAGTCTCTGTGCTTATGTTTAATTTCTTGCAGTATTTTAGGTGTGCAGCTGAGTTTGGGATTGGTGAAGATATGGGAGGTGAGTCTTTATTCCATTCTTTTAACATCCATTCCAGCTATGATCCATTCTAGTGTGCTAAAAGAGTTGGGATAGACATAGGAAATACAGAGTTTTGATAATACTTGAAACTAAACTGTTTTTCCCCTACAGACCCTTCCCTAAGCCGGGACTGCCCGCTAGATTGTAAGGTCTATGTTGGCAATTTGGGCAACAGTGGTAATAAAACTGAGTTGGAGAGAGCATTTGGCTATTATGGTCCCCTGAGGAGCGTATGGGTGGCAAGAAATCCTCCCGGCTTTGCTTTTGTGGAGTTTGAGGACCCCAGAGATGCAACCGATGCTGTGAGGGAGCTTGACGGAAGGTAAGAACATCTGTTTAAATTTAGTCCTCTGGAACAGCCATTGTCCTGTAGATTAGATTATCCTGATTAAGCAAAGGTTTGCAGAGTTGCATCTTGTGGTTTTGATGGAAACTATCCAAAAATGCACATAGTTGTATAAGAGTTATTATTGTAAACTAAGATTGTAAATTGTTTAATCGAAATAATAATTTTAAAAACCCTGAGGAGCGTATGGGTGGCAAGAAATCCTCCCGGCTTTGCTTTTGTGGAGTTTGAGGACCCCAGAGATGCAACCGATGCTGTGAGGGAGCTTGACGGAAGGTAAGAACATCTGTTTAAATTTAGTCCTCTGGAACAGCCATTGTCCTGTAGATTAGATTATCCTGATTAAGCAAAGGTTTGCAGAATTGCATCTTGTGGTTTTGATGGAAACTATCCAAAAATGCACATAGTTGTATAAGAGTTATTATTGTAAACTAAGATTGTAAATTGTATAATCGAAATAATAATTTAAAAAAAAACGTATTTTATTTCAGCTAGTTGCCAAGACAACTTTTTATCCATTTTAGTGTCCTAGAAGAGGTGGGATAGACATACAACACCTAATAATACAGAACAATGATAATATTACTTGAAATAAAATGAAAAAGGAACTTAAATACAATGAAATATAAATAAACTTCAACTTATTTCAGCTAATTGCTACGGCAACATTTCTCATGTTCATTTAGTTAAAATATTAAATAATTAAAACTAAATAAAAAATTATATAGACATTATAATCAAAAACTAATAAATGGCAAAAACACATAAAAATTTAGCAAATTATAATGAAAACAAAAAAATAAAAATGTTATTCAAAGTATTCAAAAGTTATAATAGTTTATAAATTATATTAAAATAACACTGAGTTTTATATGCTATTTAAAACAATGTCATCAACAGCAAGAGCTGTTTGTTAATTTGTTTACTTTGTGGTTGTACTGTATGCTCTAGAAGTGTGACATGCGCTTTCTGTAAACTATTCTTATAACCCCATGTTTGTCTGTTTCAGAACACTGTGTGGTTGTCGAGTGCAAGTTGAAATGTCCAGTGGTGAAAAACGCTCAAGGTATCGAGGACCACCCCCTTCTTGGAATCGCCGCCCACGTGATGATTATAGACGCCGCAGCCCACCCCCTAGACGCCGGTATGGTTTATTTTTCTGCTCTCAAACGAGACTAGATGTCTTAAAAACCCTTTTACCACAAGCTTAGTTTTGGGCAGAGTGATGAGCCTAGGTGTGGAGACTGACAAAACCAGCATCTTTTCATAAATTCAGCCAAGCTGTTCGAAACCTTCCCCATGCTCTCCTTGCACTGATCAGTTTTCAGCCTTCGGATCGGTTAACCAACAATGAGTGCATTGAGTTTTTGCTCAGGGATATTCATTAACTTGAATTGTAGTTTTCCAAAGAATCTTCTCATTGTTTGGGTTTTATGTCATTTTTATATTTATATTAATGAAGCTGACCACCCCACCCCCCCTTTCAGAGAGATCACCAAGCCTCTACTCATCTACCTCTGAGTCAGTCAACTAGCCCTCTTTCAGCATCATGTGACCAGCGTACACCAATCAGCTCACATGATCCAAGCATGGCCACCAGCCCTTTGGTTCCTGAGCATGCCTCTCAGGCTCCTTCACCTCCTCCAACGTTAACCTGATCGGCAAAACCAGCCACGCCACACTTACAACCAATCAACGGGTCTTATGCCCCTCCCCAAATGTCTACATGACAACATATCCTCAGCAGCCACCTACTGTATAGCTGTTTAACATCTAGCAACCATCTGGCAAAATCTCCCCGCAAATTACGCCCTCCTGACCAGCACTCAGCTTAACTGCATCATAACTAGCTTGTTGAAAACAAAATAGTAAGTTAATGCCTTTTCCTCCCGCTTAATGGCATTGAATTTTGTTTATTTGGTGGTTTTGAGATATAACCTTTTTTGTGATGGTATAAGATAAGTATAAGACGACTTTTTTTTTTTCTTTTTCAAAACGATACTTTTACATCCCTTCAGTAGTTTTCATACTGAAACTTTTTTTGATTTATGCACAAAGGTTTGGCAAATGAATCTGGAACAGGCACTTCTTACAGATAGCTGTTTTGAAAATTGTTTGACCCATATTGGGCTTCATAAGACCTTCATTGAAGGCCAATTGGTATCTACTCCAAAACAATGACTATTTCATGACGCTTCATGCATCATGAATATTATTTTGGCCATATTGACCCCTGACTTGTCAGTATTTCTTGCATCTGCATATAGGTCTCCTAGGAGGCGGAGCTTTAGTCGTAGTCGGAGCAGGTGAGTTGCTTAAATGTTTTTATAACCCTTCTGCAACTAATGTCAACTCTGTTGTTCTTATGAATATAAACTGTAACTTTGCCTCATATCTGCCTCATATCTTAGAGCTCCTTAGTAATGAGGTAGCTATAACATATTTATACGTGTTTACTTGGCTTTTAAAGGTCCCTTTCCAGAGAGAGGAGAAGAGAGAGGTCTTTGTCCCGCGATAGAAACCATAAACCTTCAAGGTCTTTCTCAAGATCACGCAGGTAGGTTTACACTTGTGAGTAGTTGTGTAATGGCACAGCTGGAGTATTTAGTTATGCTCATGGAATTTGTCTTATTTCTTTTCAGTCGTTCACGTTCCAATGGTCGGAAGTGAGAAATGTTCAAGGCCAGCCTTGTCAGAGAAAGCATGTCTGTGTGCTCCTCCTCAACAGACTAGGATGATTGGAAACCGTGATGTTTTTTTTTGTTTTTTGCCCCCAAAGTTTTTTTAAATTGTATCTTCTCCATAGTGTTCTGAGTATCCTTTTTTACTTAAGATATCTGTGCTTAATGGGTAGCAATGATTTCATCCTGCCTAAATTCCTGAATGTAATTTTATGCTCTTTGGGCAGTAAAAAAGTTCTGATTGGAATAACTCGTGTCTGAGTTAGATGGTCATTTGAAACCAATTTTGTATGCTTTTTTTGTTTGTACTTCCATTAAAAGAAGTTCCTTATGAATTCACTGTATGACTTTTCTCTACATTTCACACTGATTAGTTGTTCATATGTTACTTGCATTAAAAAGTTTGGTAACCCTTTTACTGTAAGGTTCAATTCATTCTCGTATGTATTGATATTAGGTATCATAAACTAGCAATTTTGATGTAGATAATCTTTTCATGTACTAATACATTATTTCAAGTTGAATTAACTAACCTATAATGCTGCAACAGTCGTTCATGATGTGTTAACAAATGTTAAACCTTATTGTAAAGGCTTTTTTGAAGAAAGGCATTTCAAAGTAAAAAATAAAATGCTTACTATGAACCTATTTTGGTTCATTTGTCTATCATATAGTATTTTGTGTTTTAAATTATATCATGTTGGGTTGCATTAGTAAGCTTTAAAATGTGCATTAAAGGGCCAGCAGAGGGCTGTGCTGTTTTGGGCGTGTTTGAGAAATGCGAATGTGTTATTGTAATACTGTAAACTCAAAAAGAAAAAAAATATTTTACTCATGGTTCAAACATGCGCTTAGACTGTGCTATCACAAAATTGGAAAGATTAAAAAAAAAATTGCTTATGTCGTTCACACAGCAAGAACAATTAGCAGCTCTCTTCATGAAATATGTACTTCAAGTTCACACTTAACTTACGGTGCAATTTGTGTCACCAACACAGGAAGTTGAGGGTAGCAGCGAAAAGGAAGCTAAATGAGCTCAGCCTCCTTTAAAAGAGACGCATAGGCACCTAAAACTGTTGTGCTTTGTGCTCTGCTAAAACACCCAAGACTGCGAAGTGGAAGGATCCCTGAAAGGGGCACCGGAAGGTAACATCAGTTTATCATGGTACTTTCCTAGTGTCATAAGTTGTAGGGGGCACGTCTTACATTTACGCTCTGTCATTTTGCATTTGGAAATGTAAAGTTTTACATGCAAATTATGTGGTTTTATCCTCAGATTATTTATATTAACATTGGATTACTTAATCATGTTGTTTAGATGTCTTGTTTTCACATTGTGTTCATCTGAGTAAAGACTTGGTCACATAATTTGTTTTTGTTTTTCTAATAATGTCATGACAGAACCTTCATCCGTCCAACAACGTGTATTTACATATGTTAAAAAAAAAAATTTTATTTTTTTTTTTACAATTTAAATCATCAGCAAGTTAGGATGGATGGAAGCATGCTGTCATTACTCGACTATTCGGGAGATGTGAAGTATAGTGGCATGATGACGAATTAAATGTTTGATGGCAAGTGTCACGTTTTTGATAAACACATTTGCTATATATATATAAAACCTCTTGACCTTATATCTACTTAGTATATTAGTAGCCTATATAAAACAGCTTGCTAGGGTGATCTGATTTTCACTGTCATTATGTATCATCACAAGTGGAATCAATGATTTGAGAGCACATGCCTGACAGTTAGTATGAGTCATATAAATGTTGCATCACTAATGCTCTCTGGTTTCCTTTTTAATCATGTTCCTAAGTGTCAAAGATGTTTAGAAATGACTTATCCCCATTATTTGTCTCATCATATGAACATGAACAGCCATGTCAGGCAGAAAATCCAAGAAGAACCAGAGGCTTGGTTCATCACGACGAGGTCCTAAAGGTCTTAACAGAAATATTGAGAAAGATGATGATGATGATGATGGGTTTCAGCAGACTGCAGCGTCTGAGGATGGGCGAGATGAATTTCACACCACCAGTGATTACCATGCAACCCAGTTTGATCATCCACCAAGCTCAAGCATTGAACAACAAACATCTGCGTTAGAATGTCCTCCACATGCAAGGGGTAACAAGGATTCACTAATGGAGACTGAACTGCCAGAACGGAAAAGGAAAATGGGTTCAACTCGCAAGAGTACTGGTAGGTTTAAAGGTGAGAGAAAACTTGATGACATGAGGACCACTGAAGAGTTAGATGAAGAATATGTAACTCAACCAAACACATCAACCACTGAGGAACAACATGCTTCTCTAACAGAAGAAGAACAATCAAGTTTTCCTTCTGATTTATCCCTTCAGACCAAAAGTTCTGGTTTTGGAAAGGAGTCTGGAACAACTCCTATGTTTGCAGTTTCAGAAAATAAAGGAAAAGTTACAATCCACCATCAAGAAATAACCTCTCATTCACATGAGGTAGTAAGTGATATGCCTATAGACGAGGCAATGGGGCCATCTGTCCAGTCTATTCCTGTCACAGTAGCTGAACGTGATTTGTTGCGGGAGGATTCAGTCATGTTTAATGAACCAAAAACACTTAGTCACCAAGAAACCCAAATAGCCAGTACCTCTGGACAAAAAAGAAGGATGGGCTCAACCCGCAGACCTCTCAGAGGGCAAAACAGTGAAAATGTAGGTGTGCAAGAACATTCACGAAACATGACAGAGAATGAAAGGAAAGCAAAAGTCATGGGCGAAGCAAAGTTGAAAATGTCAGAAGAGATGGCGCAAACATGGGATGATGTGGCAAGAGTTGATCCATCGTCCCACACAGAATCAGCTTTGCTTTTAAGTCAGTCTCTATTGGCCGATAGAGCTGAGCTGAAAGAGCCTGATGTTTCGGCTGAAACTGAAACTATGAACCAATCAGTTGCTTTTCCCCTTGTTGATTCAGAAAAGCCCCTACCTGAAACATCTAACCACCATGGGACTCCATTACTGAACGAGGCATTGGATTTTAAGTTTGGTTCACACACTGAGGATTTAGATGTTCTAAATAAAGTTTTAAAAGAAGCAGGAAGTCATTTAAGTGATAACAGCCAACATGTGTCTGATACAAGAAAAGATACAAACCCATCTTACGACTTTAGAGATGTGAACACAGAATCCAAGAAGGAGGTTCTAAAGCAGAAAGAGGAACCACAATTAGAGGAACTTGTGTTGCATGATCAAGAATCTTCATTAAGCCAACATGACATAGCTACTCTAAATAATAACTATGATTGTTCTATGGTTCAACATACAGTGGGAGGAAGTAGAAGTCTTGATATGCCTATGTCTAACATTAGCCATGCTGAACCCACAACGACCAATTTACCACATGAGATGAGGGATGCTGTTGAAGAAAGGCAAGAGATTCATATAGAAATGAAACAAGAAAATAATGTTTGTGATGTTGCTTCAGTAACATGTGATAGTCTGACTAATTTAGTGTCTATTACGAAAGAAGATGAAGATCCCCACATTTTAGCAACAAGAGAAAATGAGAATATGAGTGTTGAAAGAGGATCTGAAACAGAAGATGCATTTGAAATGACAGACCAGGGTGATGTAAGAGATCACAATGTAACACAAATAATAATGGATGTAAGAGATCATGAAAAAGACGGAGAAACAAGCACAGAGACCATTTGGATTTCACACCAGAAACCGTGTGATGTTTCAACTGAAAATAAGGAGCTATATAAAGGACAAGAGCATTATTCATCAAATATATCTCTAACACACAGTCAAACACACGATGATGCTGGGAAGATGCTAGAAAATGAGGAGGTTAGAAAATACAAAAAAGAGACTGAGAATACTGCAGTTAATGATGTGACCTCAAAGTCAGAGGAAATGTTTCGTTTTGAAGACTCAGCAACAGATACAGGATCTCTCGCACAACAACAACTGTTTATGCAATCTCCTGATAAAGAAGACTATGACTTGCATGAAAATGTGAATGAGAAACGTGAAAAGGAAGAAATACTTTTCAGTGTAGAATCAGAGAATGTAGCTTTTGATAGAGGCAATGAGAGAAGGGAAGGAACAGATGGAATTAAGGAGATGGATGCAGCACCAGTCCTGACATTAGATGTGGGAGATGCAGGCCTACAGTTAGAAGTTGAAGCACAGAACAAAACATTTGACTCAACAAACAGTGAAGCAGATGGAACAGAAGAGAATATCAATGGTGCTAGTGTTTTAGTCAGAGAAAATAAAGTTATTGGAAATACAGTGGAGAGTAATATGACCCCTGATGCACACATGGAAGCATTGAAAGTATCTGAAAATGCTGAGCAAGAAGTTTCAGGAGAAACAATTCTCAAGCAAAACGACATCAACATCGTTCCTGAAGATTCTCATGAAGAGAAGGCACACCCAAAATCAAGTCCAGTTATTCAGAAGAGAAAAATGGGCTCAACTCGTAGACCTCTCAAAGGGAATAAAGGACTAAGAAAAGGTCATGATGAAAAAGAAATCTTCAATTTGGAGGATGAACCCTGTCCAGATGAATCCAGATATACTGCAGTGAGTATCTGTGACATTTCAGAATCACAAACTTTCACAAAAATCTATGCAGGGTCCCAGGAAAATACTGGAGATGTTGAAATAGTGCCAGCAGAGGGAGACACAGAATCACACTCAGAAAACAAAACGTTTGACTCAACAGCTTTTGAAGGAGAAGTTGAAGTCAGAGAAGTTGAAGTTATTGGAGATACCGTGGGCAGTAATATGACTACTGAATCAGATTTTCATCAAACTTCTGATGCAAACATGGAAACGTTGAAAGTATCTGAAAATCCTGATAGTGAAGATTTAGAACTCAGAAGTTCACAATCAGAAATTCAACCAGAAAACAAAATGATTGAGTTAACATCTGAAGCAGAAAGAACAGAAGATACCATCTGTGAAGCTAGTGTTTTAGTCAGAGAAGATGAGTTTACTGTAGATACGGTTATAGTGGACAGTAATATGACTATAGAGTCAGATTTGCTTCAGAGTGACACTTTAAATGATGCAAAACTGGAAGCACTGAAATTATCTAAAAATACTGTGAGTGTTTCTGCTGTGACGGATTCTGTGCTTCTTGTGCAAGAGGATGTCACTGAAGGATCAAGAGAGACAGACACATTTCCTGAGCAAAGTGACATCAACATCATTCCTGAATATTCTCATGGAGAGGAGGTACACTCAATATCAAGTCTAATTGTTCACAAGCGAAAAAAAATGGGCTCAACACGTAGACCTCTCAGAGGGAACAAAGGACAAAGAAAAGAAATAGAACATCATGATGAAAATGAGACACTTGACAGTGAAGGTATGATCAATGCAGAGAAAGAAACAATTTGTTTGGAGAATGAACCCAGTCCAGATATATCTACATTACAAAGTTTAAAAGATGGAGCTAAAGAACAGGAGATGGAAATATGTGAGAAGAATGATGTTGATCCTGTTAAAGGGTCTGAATCCACTCTCCTGCAGTCATCATGTACTTCAGATTTAGTGTCTAAGGAATCCACTGCAATAAGTATCTGTCACATCACAGAATCACAAACCCTCACAAATATTCATGTAGAGTCTCAAGAAAATACTGGAGATGCTGAAAGAGTGGCAGCAGAGGATGACAAAGACTTACAATTAGAAATTGACTCACAGAACAAAACATTTGACTTAGCAACCAGTGAAGCAGATGGACCAGAAGAGAACATCCAAGACGTTAGTGTGGCATTAATCAGAGAAGTTGAAGTTATTGGAGATACAGTTACAGTGGAGAGTAATATGACTACTGAGTCAGATTTTCTTCAAACTTCTCCTGATGCACACATGGAAGCATTGAAAGTATCTAAAAATGCAGAGAGAGAAGTTTCAGGAGAAACAAACACAATTCCTGAACAAAGTGATATCAGCATCATTCCTGCAGATTCTCACAGAGAAGAGACACACTCAAAATCAAGTCCAGTTATTCAGAAGAGAAAAATGGGCTCAACTCGTAGACCTCTCAAAGGGAATAAAGGACTAAGAAAAGGTCATGATGAAAAAGAAATCTTCAATTTGGAGGATGAACCCAGTCCAGATGAATCCAGATATACTGCAGTGAGTATCTGTGACATTTCAGAATCACAAACTTTCACAAAAATCCATGCAGGGTCCCAGGAAAATACTGGAGATGTTGATATATTGCCAGCAGAGGGAGACACAGAATCACACTCAGAAAACAAAACAATTTACTCGCCAGCATTTGAAGGAGAAGCAACAGGAGAGAACATCTGTGCAGCTAGTGCTTTAGACAGAAACGTTGAGTTTATTGGAGATGCAGTTATAGTGGAGAGTAATATGACTACAGAGTCAGATATTGTTCAAAATGACACTCCCACTGATGCAAAACTGGAAACTTTGGTATCTGAAAATGCTGAGAATGAAATTTCAGGAAAAACAGACATCATTTCCAAACAAAGTGTTCCCAACATCATTCCTGAAGATCTTCATGGAGAGGAGGTACACACAAAATTGAACCTTAATGTGCATAAGCGAAAAATGGGCTCAACTCGTAGACCTCTTAGAGTGAACAAAGGACAAAGAAAAGTGAGAGTAGAATCCAAGGAAAATAATGGAGATAGTGAAGGAGTGTCAGAAGAGGAAGACACAGAAACACACTCAGAAATTCAAAACTGGGATAACGTGGTTGATCAGAATGTGACACAAGAAATTATGAATGTAAGAGATGTTGAAGATGAGGAGAGAAAGACCACGAAGACACTGGACATGTCAGTGCAGGTGCTATGTGATGATTTGGAACTAGAGCAAAGATCAGATGCATCTCAAACACAAACTGGTCCATCACAGGAAGATACTGGCTCATATTTAGTAGAGTTCCCAGAAAGAACTGCAGATATTGTGAGAGACAGTAATAGTCTTTCTGATATGGTCATGTCTGATGCCCTTCTTATGGAGGAAACCCAAATTCATGTGTCATCTAATGATGTTCCTCCAACAGAGGTAGTTGAAATGAATCCAGTCTCCAAAAAGTCTATGCAGAAGAGAAAAATGGGGTCAACTCGGAAGAGAGGTAAGAGGATGGTAAATGACAAGGAGGTTGAAGAAGAGAAAGAGGGAGAAACTGAAAATACAACAGCTGGTGATGAGACCACAGAGTCAGAGGAGAAATTAACACTTGAAGAAGCCATTACAGGATCTCCTGTACATCAGCAACTGTTCAGTTCATCTGCTGATAAAGAGGACCATGACATTCAGGATATTGTTTGTAAATCAGATGTGCAGGCAGAAAACTCGGAACAAAATTATCCAAACTCTACCATAAATCCAGAACTATTGATAGAATCTGAATGTTCATCAAATGTTGCTGCTGAAATGGTTTCAGACCTTCCATTGGGAGATGTCGACACATACTTAGATCCTAAACAAAGTGTCATTCCTAAAGAGTCTCATAGAGAAGATAAACCAAACTTGAATCCGGCTGTTCAAAAACGAAAAATGGGGTCGACACGTAAGACGCTCAGAGGGAACAAAGGGCAGGGAAGAATAGCAGAATCCAAAAAGATGGATCGAAATAGTGAAGGAATGATACAGGAACAGGATACAGAACCACATTTAGAAACCAGTGCAAGAAAAACTGAATTTGATGAAGAGGTTGAACAAAACATCCCATTTGAATGTTCTCATCCAGTGGCTTCTTCAAACATGCTCCTTGAACTAGAAAATGGAGTGACGGAAGTTTTTCCGAATATTCATGACCTATCTGAGGTGAGTGAGGAAAAGGGGATGGACAATACTGGAAATGACAGTAATAGTCTGAGTGAGGCAATTAATCTCAAGGAGGGGACAAAGGACAAATTGGTCTTGACAATTAGTCACGAAGATGTTCATCAGATTGTGTCAGAGCCTGCACAAACTGAAAACACACACACGGTTATTCCTACACAAGAACTAAGAGCCACTCAAGATGATGTTGTTCATGAAAACAACTCTCGAAAAATACCTGCCACCCAAGAAAAGAGGCGAAAGATGGGCTCAACCCGGAGAAATCCCCGAGCAATGCATGGGAAAAATATGGCTGATAATGAAGATGTACTTGGTGTGGCGGAGGATAGAGAAACTAAGAAAGCAGAGGATGATTTAGAAGAAGCATTAAGCATCAGTCAGTCCAAGGATGTGTCTTCAGTCAGTACCACAGATCTTAATTCAGAAATGTTAGCTAGTGTAACTGATTTAAAAGTTGAAAATGATCATCTTCATAGTTTTAGACCAACAGTGCCTGAAACACATGAAAATACCCTTCAAATATGTGACAATCAATTAGAAAATGCTGATGTTACCAAACATCCACAGTCAGAGACTATTACCATTGAGAAGAGAAGAAAGATGGGCTCGACTCGGAAGAATCTCAGAGAAGGAGGAATACGAGGAAAAAGAGATGGATATGAGGACACAGAAACTGAAGACACAAATGTGCAAATGTCTCAGGACACTGAAATGAGCTTAGTAAGAGAAGATGACAACAGACAACAGACAACTCACGACTACCCCAATCAGCCAGAGGATTCACTTCTCAGTGAGATAGAGAGAGCATTAAATAAGACGTCTCAAAGTTCATTAAGTTATGATTGGGAATTAATCGTCAAAGAGCCAAACCCAGATGGCTTAGCCAATGCTCCTGATCTCAATATGCCAGAAAACTCAGAAATCAAATCTCTTCAGCCAATGCCATCGGCTCACAGTGAACCCAACTCACCAGGAGGACGAAGAAGAAAAATGGGTTCAACTCACAAAAATCTCAGACAGCAGCTCAAAGCAGAAAGGGAGGATGAAGACAAAGAGGATGGGGAGATAGATGAGAACTCAAAGACAAATAAGCAAGAAAAGAAGGACCTTGAAAGAGTTGAGGTGTCTGTAGTGCATAATATTACTGAAAACAAACTGAATAAAGAGTATCTCGATGTCTCTAGTGCACACACAAGTAGCAATCAGCTAGAAGAGAGCACTAACCCTGTTAGCCAAGAAAAGACGTCTCCATCAACTAAAAGGAAGTTTGGGTCCAGACGTGCTAATAAGGGCAAACAAGGCCTTGGTAGGTTGGCTGATTCTGATTTTGGGAATGATTTAGAAGATGGAGATCATAAACCAGACAGCTCTGAGGTCAAGGACAAGCTGCACAGTGATGACTTAGCGGTGTGTATCTCTTTGTTTAGAAAATGTCCTTATATTTTGTACTTCAGCTTTTAATGGAAATTGTATTTACTTTAAATCACTAACAAATGTTTGTTTTGTTAAGGTTTGTGATCCGTGCCTCACCTTACAACCAGAGAATCAACCAGCTTCTGAGCAGAGGAACATGGAAGCCAAGTATGACACAGAGCTATATAAGAGTTCTTTATGTCTTTGTTATAAGAAAATAATTAACTTTTTTCTTTTTTTCTTTTTCCTTCTCCAGAAATGAAGAAGCTGCTCCAAAAGGCACTGGTGCTGGTCTTGTTTCTTTGGACCAAATCATAAAACATGATAGCACTGGAGCTAAGCAGACAGTAAATTTAAAGAACAGGAGTGAGTAAAGTGATAAAATAGCGTCATGTAATTGTACCTTAAAGTTTAATATCTAATACTCATCTAAACACAAACTCTGTCATATAGTTTCAGATACTGAAGTAGTTCAGTTTAATGTTGTCATGGTGGGAAACAGCTGTGTGGGAAAGACTTCCTTCATAAGACGCTTCCATGAAGACCAGTTCACTGAGGATTACCGCTCCACTATTGGTGAGTGTTGCGATGGAGGCAGTCTTGTACGCTAAAGCAGCTATACACTATCATTCAAAAATTTGGGTCTGCAAGATTTTTTTTATGTTTATGAGAAAAGTCTCTTATGCTCTGATCAAAAGTACTGCACAGTATTAACAGTAATATTGTCAAATATTATTACAATTTAAAATAATTGTTTTCTAGTTTACTATGCTTTATTTAAAATGTAATTTTTCCTGTGATGGCAAAGTCATTACTCCAGTCTTGAGTGTCACATGATCCTTTAGAAATTATTCTAATATGCTGATTTAATTCTCAAAAAACATTTCTTATTATTATATATATTGATAACAGTTGTGCTGCTTCATATTTTTTTTCAGGATTTTTTGTAACTTTATTAATGTATTTACTATTACTTTTGACCGATTTAATGCATCTTTAAATATTCATTTAAAGATAAAAATGAAAATATAAAAATATTCATTTCTTAAAATGTATTTATTTAAAAAAATTATTGACCTCAAACTTAGAATAATAGTGTAAAAAGTGTTAAGATACGTATTTTCTATATAGAAATTATTTTTAGGAAGAAAAAATAAAGCAACAGACTGACTAATTATAATGATCAGTTCCAAGTGTATAAATGTGTGCATTTATAATTTAATTAATAATAATAATTTATGCATTTAGCAGATGCTTTTATTTAAAGCGACTTACAGTGCATTCAGGCTATAAATTTTTTACCAGTATGTAATAACTTGTTTTTTAAAAAGTTATATCATGTAAAATTTTATATTATATATTTAAAAACTTTAAATGTGTCATAGATAGTAATTACTCTTTTGCACCTAGGTGTTGACACCTGTATACAGACTGTTGTGCTGCCTGACAGAACTGTTAGACTGCAAATATGGGACACAGCAGGTCAAGAGAGGTAAGACCTCAGAACAAAATAATACACGATGGAAAAGATGTTTGTTGGTGTGTAATTTAATCCAAAAAATCTTTATAAGGTTTCACAGCATCACCACACAAGTGTTCCACAAGGCTGATGGGCTTCTGCTCATGTATGAAGTCACATGTTCAAAGAGTTTTATTTCTGTACGAGATTGGATCTCTCAAGCTCGGGTAGCTTATGTTTTCATTTCTTCATTTTCATTATATTTTAGTCAAAATATATGGTAACATCCCCTTCCCTAAATTGTATTATGACCATGTTACACAGCAAAGGGCCCCTGATGATGTCATCATGATGTTGCTTGGAAACAAAAATGATTCTGTAAAGCGTGAAGTCCAGGTTCAGGAAGGGGCAGATCTGGCCAGAGTAAGAGTTCATTGTGACCCCAAAAGCACTGTCTAATTGTTTTGCTTAAGTTTAGTTCTACTAAAAGTTTGGTTGTATTTTCCCTTCATTAGGAGTATAACATACATTTCATGGAGTGCAGTGCTGCAACTGGGGTGAATGTGTCAGAATCCATGAGAAGTCTTGCAGAGTAAGACTCAAAACTAACAAAACCCATCACACCAATTATTATTTGTTAAATATATGTGTGTTTTCTGTCCATGCATAAAGTCTAATTTCTTGTTGCTACTAGAATGTTAGTGCAGCGCAAGTCACAGAAGGAGAAACACACAACATTGAGAAGAGAACCACCACAGAAGAAATCTGGTTGCTGTTGACATGACACTGTGCACCTTCTATATATGTTATTATTTAAAAGCTGCTTGTGATGGGCTTTGGTTCATCATGTGACTTTCTCATCACCACCTGCATTTGGTGGTTATCAGTGTATTACAAAGGTACAAAACAGATTTCAGTACTTCAATAGGTTGGTATATTAACATTATTTTAGTTAATGAAATTACGGTATTTAACTGTAAATTTAAGTTAAAACCGTAAAACCTAAAATGTTGCTACCGTATTTTTTACATTTTACAGAATTTTTTTTACAGTGTAAAATTAAATCATCTTTGAGAGCAAGGGGGCCCCCTGGTGTTTCGGGGGCCCTACGCAGCTTGCGTATTTTGCTCATAGGGAGGATCGGCTCTGGCTGTTGAAAACACATTTCCACACACACAACATGCACGACCATTCAAACTTTTGGGTTAGTAAGATATTTTTTGTAGAAATTAATACTATTATTCAGCAAGTATGCCTTAAATTGATCAAAAGTGACAATGAAGACTATGTCGATACAAAAAATTCAGTTATAATTAAGTGATTTTTTAAAATTTTCTATTTATCAAGTAATCCTGAAAAAAAATGGTTTAAAATGGTTTTCATAAATTAAGCTTTCCCCTTACAGTAATAAATAAAACTTAATTTTTAAATTTATTTTACATTAAAAAAGTCTTACCAACCCTAAACGTTTGAAGGTAGTGTACAAACACTTTGTAAAAAGCAAAGGCAAAAAATAAGAGTAATGCTTAAGAAGAATGTCATTTCTGTATTTTATAAATATGTACAAAATACAATAATGGTTTCACACATAATAATATAATTATACATTTATTCAATGTCTGTTAAGTGCTTTAAGTGCTGAGTGGAAGTGAAAATGAATACAAACAAATAAAACAAACTATACTCGTACAATTCAAGAGTTCATGAATGAATGAAAAATCTCTGTAACTCAGTTTCATGAATTATTAGTTAACACAGACTAAATGACTGAGGTACTAGTCAGCCTTCAAAACAAGACACTACTTAAATTACTCACAAAAAGCTACATTTTGCTAGAAATGGTATAGAATGTTATAAAAACAAAGAACATCCCATCTCATTTTGTCATCATAATGTCAAAATGCATAGATTATTTCCTTGTTTGTGAGGTCTCATCTCAAATCATATCTCAAACAGTAGTCAAAAGTGTTGCTTATCAATCTTCATATCTGTTGTCTGAAATATAAGCAATAAATATTAACGTATACACACACAACTCAGTGGCTTAGATCACGGACAAACAGGATGACTATAATAAGCAGACTGAGGAAGAGGGCAAATACGATGAAGAAAATCTGAGCTGCCCATTGACTGTGCAGCACTCCTGTCACCGCTCTGGTATGTTCAGAAGGAATCATGTTGGTCAGGTTCAGCATGTAGCCTAATGTCCAACCAACATCTGTGTCTGCTACCTGTAACCATCATACAATCTTATATGAGTACAAATCCCCACATCATACTGACAGGGCAGTTAAGAAAAGCCACATACGGGAAGATTCCTAGAAGTAAGAGGTTTCCTCATACTGCTGGAGCAGAGGTCTTCTGATATATTGATTTATGTCAGGTTGAGCACATGATGTCAGTTTATGAGCTACTTCCACTGTGCTCTTGGGCAAAACAAATAACCTGGGGTTAAATTATAGTCTCTAACGATTTATGAATCACTAAGTATCCATATTCAATTTGTTAATAAGGATGGGATTGATCTGTATGCATGAAATTTATATATTCATATTACTGAACAGCTTCATTGCAGTAAAGGAAGGATTTAAAGAGATGAAACTGTTCCTTGCCTGTTTCTCAAAAGAGATTTGATCCCAGGTGTTATTGAACTTGTATCCTTTCAGGAGAATAGTCATAATATAATGAGCAGAAGCACAATAATCTTTGAGGTATTTTGCCTTGATGGTTGGATTTTCAGCGGTAAGCTGCAGAAAGAAATTACATAAAAAATGCAGCAAAAAAGTCATGAACATGGATTTAAGAATATACCAGCATTATCAAATATACTATCCACCTTATTTTTCCCGTAAGAGTGGGCATGGCCATTTATAAATTTAATGTGTCTGGTTTCGGTGTCATTCGCTTCCAGCTATTTTTAGCTGTACAAAACTGCTTGTTTTGCTGCTTGATATTGCAAACTGGTGTATTACCATATTATTTTAATGTATAATCTTAATTATGAACACACTGGTATGAAGTGCAAACAGTTTTACAGTTTAATGCACGTTATTATTCTTATCATATATTCTTATCCCTACAGCGGCTAATGAGCCGGAAGTCTCGCCCATTCACAGAAAACTGCTTGCTTCCGCATTGAAAAATAAGGTGGATACATGTAATCGTTTTGTGATTCACTTGATCACTTCTCGTCTCGTCACCAGGCGTTTTACTATAAAATGTAAGATTACAATGTTTTGTAATAGTAATTGTGGACTCACAGTGGTCCAGGTTTTGTTGCATTGTGTATCAATAGTGGAAAGAACCCGGGTCAGTGGAGCTTTTGGGACAAGTCCAAGGAACTCAAAGGTGTAAAAGTATGCAGAAAAAGCCTGAGATGGACATAAAATATAGCTGTTAAGACTTATTATGAGACATGGAAACATGAATTAAGGTAAAAAGATGATTTTGATGTGAACATCATTTAAAATAGTAACTTGTAGGCTACTTCAGTATGCTTTGATTCAGTAACTGCTCTGATAGATTCAGCTGAGTAAAGGATTTGTCAGAGTGATAATCCAATTTTTATTTATTCATTAAAACAGCTACCTAATGAGAGTCATTCTGTCAGAAATCAGACTTTATTGGTCATGTTTTTTTTTGTTTTTTGTTTTTTAAAGAACCGACTCTTAAGAGTCATTTGTTTGAGAATTGTATAAACTGGTCGCATCAAACCCATGTTCTTTCTGTGTGCAGTCCGCTAGTAGAAAGATATTTCTTGACATTATTTCATGATACACAGTATTTTTATTACATCATTTAAAGGAAAAGTTCACCCAAAAATTAAAATTCTGTCATCATTTACTCGCCCTCGTGTCGTTCCAAACCTGTATATGTTTCTTTCTTATGTTGAACACAAAAGAAGATACACTCCTGAACACAATCTTAAGACCAGGGGAAACATTACAAGTATTCGCATTTCGTGCCGGTGGATCGTTACCAGGTTGCAGAGGCGGACAGTAACTAAGTACATTTACTTGAGTATTGTACTTAAGTGTGCACACACTGTCAGAGCTGTGTGAGATCACTACCATACTGCTTTTGTGGGGGTTGGTATAGGGTGTTAATTTTTTCCCCCCGTAGGTTTTAACATTCTAAAAGCTCTTTATTCCAAAGAATACTACAAGCTAGTCAGTGTATTCAGTAGGTGTAATGTATTCAAGTTGCTTCAGAAGTATTGCAAGTATTACGTACAACAATAAAACAGTGCATTGACATAAAAAAGGAAATTTACTTTTGGTACTTAAGTACTTTTAAAAGCAAGTACTGCTGTACTTTTACTTAAGTAAAAATCTGTCTTTACAACTTTTACTTGTAATGGAGTAATATTTGACCAGCGGTATCTGTACTTTCACTCAAGTAATGGAGTTGAGTACTTTGTCCGCCTCTGCCAGGTTGTAAGTACTGCTTCAAAATGCCAAAAGAAGAAACAGGAACAAGAGACAAAAAAATAGAGAATAGGCAATTTATTGAAAACTGCATTTAAACTCAAACAGACTGTTCATCAGCTGAACAAAAGTTTAAGACCACAGCCTTAAAAAGTTAAATCGGCACAAAAATATGGCTTTCATGTCATTGTCCTTCAGGTAGCCACACTGTCATGATCTCCTGATGGCAAAGGCAAAAAGTCTTTCTGTCTTTGAACGTGGCAGGATTGTTGAGCCGCACATGCAAGGGTGTATGCAACCCGCCATCGCTGCCGAGGTTGGACACAGTAAGACAGTCATTTTCATTTCTTAAAAGATCCTGAGAGTTATGGGACAAAAAAGTCAAGTGGTAGACCCAAAAAAGATCAGGGGAACATGCAGGATGGTCCAAAAGAGCGACGTTATTCTCCTGGAAGAAGTCCTTCATCAGAGGGGGTTGTGAACTGCAGCGTTGTCCTGTTGAAAGACCCAGTCATTACCACACAGACGAGGTCCCTCAGTCAAAAGGGATGCCCGCTGCAACATGTCCACATAGCCAGCCGCCGTTTGACGCCCCTGCACAACCTGAAGCTCCATTATCCCATTGAAGGAAAAAGCACCCCAGATCATAATGGAGCCTCCTCCACTGTGCCGCGTAGAAAACATCTCAAGTGGGATCTCCTTGTCATGCCCAGTAACGTTTTAAGCCATCAGGACCGTCCAGGTTAAATTTTTCTCGTCAGATAATAAAACTTTTTTCCACCTTTCAATATCCCATGTTTGGTGCTCCCTTGCAAATTCCAAATGGGCAAAATTGTGGCGTGGGAGGAGGCGTGGCCTTTGAAGACGTTTTCTGTTCTTTAAGCCCTTCTCTCGCAGATGCTGTCTTATGGTTATTGGGCTGCAGTCAGCATCAGTAAGGGCCTTAGTTTGGGTCGAGGATCGGCCTGTGTCTTCACGAACAGCCCGTCGGATCCTCCGACGCAGTGCAGGTGATTTTTAATTTTTTTTGGTTGTACCACTTGACTTTTTTGTCCCATAACTCTCAGGATCTTTTAAGCAATGTAAAATGTCTTACTGCGTCCAACCTCGGCAGCGATGGCGCGTTGCGCGCACCCTTGCTTGAGCGGCTCAACAATCCTGCCACGTTCAAAGACAGAAAGACTTTTTGCCTTTGCCATCAGGAGATCATGACAGTGTGGCTGCCTGAAGGACAATGACATGAAAAGCCATATTTTTGCGCCGATTTTAACTTTTTAAGGCTGTGGTCTTAAACTTTTGACAACCCTCTACATTGCGAGTAAATCACTCGTCTAGGCGACTAAATGAGTCTG